ATTTTACTTATTTTCAGTTATCTTGAGATGACTAAAACCAACATCACATCCTTAATCTAGCTTGGATAATTGCTTTTTAAGATAATGAATTAAAATATAAACAGTTTTTCCACTTAAAACTTACAAAATTCCAGGTACTAAGAGACATGCAAACCCAAATGTTTCTGTTCCTTCTGTTACATTAAAAATTGATCTACAAGACAAAATACTCCAGTATTGTTCTCAGATGACCCATTAACTGCATGACATTTTCTCATGGTTGGTACAAAAACATTTACAGCACTGGGGTCTTGGGGGTTTTTGTTTGTTTGTTTTAAATCTTACAAAACTGTGAAAGCTGAAAAAAAACTCCATTATTAGTTCAGACTTATTTTTTTGAAAGAGTGGACAAATCAGCATTGCAATGCATATAGATGATCATTAAAAACAGCACTCACTCAGACTTTGGCATAAATTCACTCAGAAGTCTGGCAGAAGAGATTTTGCTATTATCTTAGAACGTACTGAATCTGGCATAACATGAGGAAAGATGTAAACTTAAAAGACCACACGAACCAAACAATCTACGGATTTTTTTTAAAATCAACACTTAGCAAGTAAGTTATGCCCTACTCAAGTTGGCATTCTAAGTTTTGTTTGGTTGTTGTCTGGGTTTTTTTAAGGGTTCATTACTGATCAGGTACATTACCCAAAACCACGTTTCCTTCCTCCCATTTTATGCATATTTAAGATGTATGCACTTCAGAAAGCATTTCAGCAAATGTTAAAAGAATTTCCAACTTTTAAAATAGTTTTTCTGCTGAAAAATACCGTTTGAACTGTTTTTTTTCTGCCTGACAAGATACAGACTTTGATAGTAGGATCAAGTCGCATGAACTGGCTGACGCACGCACGTTCACTATACAGGAGCTATTGAGGGGTCTTGCCCTCGCGGGCGGGGCAGGAGACTGGTGTTAGCAGCAGCTTTATACAAAGGATAGCAAGTAGTGACGTTGCATTGTAGGACTACAACAGTCTTAAACCGCATCAAGGATAACAGCACTTAAAACTATTTCAAAGGGAAGGCCAAAAAAAACCAAACAACAAAACCAAAAAACCCACAAACGAACAAACAAAAAAAACCACAAAAAAACCCAAACCCCAAGCTAACCAACACAAAAAACCCCCGAAACCCAAACACAAAACCAAAACCCATAACCAAACGAATGTGGTTCAGGTCTCTAGTAAAGCAAATATTGCGTTGCAATTCAAACCAGTTTATCGACCCCAGTAGGGAACCCAGATACCGGCATCTAAAAAGCTTACATAAAGAAAATGATAACCATTTGTTTAAAGAAGTGTAAGGAACGGCTACTATTGTTCTGACGGGCTGAAAGGAAAAAAAGAAAGCGGTCGCTAAGACGGAGAGGCGCTGCTGATCCTTCTCAGTATACGGGCCGCCTGCAACAGCTCTTTCGAAGCCCGACCTAAGCAAAGAGGGCAGGAGGGTAAGAGAAAGAGATAAAGACCCAGAGACGGCAACGCCGCATCTCACCTCCTCTTCCAGGAACCGATGCCTTCACCCCGCTACCACTAGCGGCCCGTCTGGGAGCGGGGCCTCCCCC